TGGGACTGAGGTGGGACTGTGCTCCACCAGGGGTGGGGGGTGCTTTCTCCCTCTCCCACTGTCTGTGGAGAGCACCCACCCCTGGCAATTAAAAAAAGAAAATGAAAACAAAGTAAAATACTTTCACACACCTTACACGTGAAGCTTCTCATCAGATTTTTCTACAGCGCATCATCATCAAGCGCACTTCTCCAGGTAGACATTCGAGGTGGACCCTGTGCACTGGGCTCCCCCTCCTCCCCCTCGCCCCTCTCCCTGAGACCCGGCTGCTGGGTGGTGGCCAGAGCCATTCCGGAGACCCGCACCCTTCTCACGCCGTGACATCCCCAGCTCAGAGGTACCACAGTCACGTGCTCGGCGATACATCACCTGCTAGTCGGTAACTTCACCACTGGCGTTTTCAAACGCTGCGCGTAAGAACCAGATCCTTGCCTGGAGACGGGTCTGTGGGACCTCACAGGTGGTGCATGTGCTCTTTGCTCTGTGTTCAAAGAAAAATAAGCCAGCCAACTTAACAGAGTTTTACTAGAGCAAGTCTTACCACGATTTAAGTCGGGCAGTCGTCGCTGGACTTCCCGACAACTCCGGCCAGCCGCGTGGTCAGCCTGGCATTTAAGTCGGTGGAACCGCAAAGTGTCATACATAAACACGTAAGCGAGGGAGTGAGGTAGAGAAATCGTGGTTAATTCTGAAGTTCGTCTGCATTACCATGGTTTAAAAGGCGGATGCCTGTGCCCGACTGAAGCCTAGCTGCTGTGATTGGCTGTAACTTAGCAACCAGCTCAGAAGAACACCTAACATGTTCGATTTCGGCTTAGCCATAGGAATCCGAGTGTGGGAGTACAGCGGCTGTTTTAGGCCAAAATAGCTTGGCACCTGTAACGTGCATAACGTGAGCTATGTTTGCGAGGGCACAGACCGTGTTCTGCCCGGCCATCCGCGGAGCTTCCCTGGTAAGCAAGCCCGTGGCTTCCCCTGCTGGGCCTCTGGGTGCGTTCTTTGGGTTTGGTAAATATCAACAGCAAACCCTCGCAGATTTGGGGCTCCCTCTTACACCAGTAGATACACGGTAATTGTTTATTAAAGTTTGAATCTCTGTATCTGTGAATATTAACATAAGCATTACAGGGGCCAGCACACGGCATGGCGGTTGCATCACTGGCCTCTCACGTGACCAAATGCAGTCTGAGTCCTGGATCTGGTGGGTTGAAAATCACGCCGGGTGCATGTGTGTGCATGCCCAAGATCCTGAGAGGAGAATGGAAGAGAAGGGACTGCAGTATGGCCTCCCCCCAGAGGGTGATTTCTCACTTTCCCCTCTCACGGCCTCTGTCTCTGTCTCTCTCTGGTGAGCACATGTACCCTATAGCAAAAACCTCTTTAAAAAAAAAAGCATTATAGGGGCCAGCAGGGTGGTGTAGTGGTTACTGCACTGAACTCTCACATGGCTGACAGCAGTTCGAGTCCTGGGCCTGGCTCCCTGAAACACACTAGGCGTGGTGTGTGTGTGTGTGTGTGTGTGTGTGTGTGTGTGTTTGTGTGCCCAAAATCCTGAGAGGAGAATGGAGGAGAATGGCCGTCTGCCCCGGGGGGTGATTTCTCACTTTCTCTCTGTGTCTCTGGCGAGGGCATGTGCACTATAGCAAAAATCTCTCTTAAAAAAGAAAAAAAAACATTATAGTTCAGGGTCCCCACAACCACTCTTCGGCCCAGTGATTTGCTAGAAGGACTCACAGAACTCAGAAACGCTTTGTATTCACAGTTATTGTTTATTAAAGAGCAAGGATACAGAGGGGAGAGGCACCAGGGCCGCGCTGGGAGAGCAGATGCAGGTGTCCACGGGGTCCTGTGGGCAGTGCTGTTTTCTCCCAGCATGACATGTGGCCCCACACACAGTGTGCTCCCACCACGGAAGCTGGGCTGAGCCTGGCTGTCCAGGAGTTTGATGGAGGCGGTGCCAAGGGCCTCGCTGACGTCCACACAGCTGACCTCAGTCTCCATCCCTGCAGAGGTTAGGCTGATAGCTTGTGGCCCAAGGCTCCCAGGTAAACAAAGACACTCTTATCAGGCAGGACATTCCAGGGCTTAAAGGTTACCTCCGGAAACTAAACAATGGCCTAGCCTTTCTGGGCAAGGTTAATCTTTGACTGCCTGGTTGTTATCATTCCATTCATCTCATTGGTGTGTTTCAAAGTTCGCTCTGCCTGTTTTGTGGAAATAGACGTAGTGAGCAAAGGTGGGACGTGCACCTGGCGGGAGCTCAGCAGCACACCAGGACAGCACCAGCACCGGTAAGGACTCAGCCTGCAGGTGTTCAGTGTTTGCTGTGTGCCTGCCCTTGGGTCAGTGTAAACCTGGGATAGCTCACGCAGACTCTGCAAGGCCCCTGGGAGGACACGGCATCTAATGTTCTCAACGTAAAGATACCAAGTCTAGAGAAAGCATACCCCAAGGAAGACGCTGGCTAAAGGCAGACGCTGCTCCAGAAGCCAAGCCTCCCTCCTCCTGCTTCCTTCTTGACCAAGGTGGCAGTGTCTCTGTGGCTCAACCTGGAGGCTGGCTCTTCAGAGGACTCCATCTCTAAGCAATAGTGGGCTTGGATGGCCTGGTTCAGGAATTCTCAGAAGTGCTGATAAACATAGTTTTGCACATCATATTTTGAAACAAGGCTGTTATTTGTTTTTATTTTATTTTTTAAGGTATTTGTCATAGGGCACGTGCACTCACTGGAGAGGGGAGGGACAGTGAGAGGGAGTGTGAGAAATGGCCCGATGGGGGAAGACCACGGCAATTCATTCTGCTCCATTCACTTCTCGAGATTTGGGGCATGCACACGTACCTGGTGTGATTTTTGAGCCACTGGGTCCAGGACTGGAACTGCAGTTGGCTATGTGGAAATCTACCTGCCTTCGTCACTACGCCACCTGCTGGCTCCTCAAGGCATTATTTACAACAATGATCTCCAAAATAGACAGGAGTGCTCTAAAAGGGCCCAAAATGATCTAAAGGGATTCAGGGCATAAATGCTCTCGATTGTCTTTATATTCATTTTTATAACATTCTTAGTCTCTATTTTGATAAATGTTTTATACTTAATAAATTAACACAGTAGTATATGAATTTATAAATAAATCTTTATGGAGGCTCATATTAAAGAAGATTTTCAATAATGAACTATATAACCGAAAACACTTAGAAAACATTGATTTATAAGAAACTGTTATGTGGGAACAGCAGATGGCTTAATGGCTATGTCACTGGACTCCCATGTAATTATACACAGTCTGAGTCCCGGACCTGGTGGATTAAAACTCACAATGAGTGCGTGTGTGTGCGTGCCCAAGATCCTGAGAGAATAGAGGAGAAGGGACTGTGGTGTCATCCCCTCTAGGGAGTGATTTCTCACTTTCTGTCTGTGTCTCTGGGAGTGCATAGGCCCTATAGCAAAAATCTAAAAAAAAAAAAAAAGAAAAAAGAAAAAGAAAAAGAAGTTGTTTTGAGATTGTTCTCGAAATGAACCTTTGACATTTGGTTTATATAACTTACACATTGCTCATAAATATATGTAGTTCTGGGTCAACCAGTGCATGGTGGTTAAGGGCCTGGATCCCAAATGACTGGGTGGTTCAAGTCCTAGACCCAGTTGCTTGAAAAATAGACCAGGTGCATGTGCGTACCTGCCCAAAATCCTGAGAGAAGAGTGGAGAAGGGATTGCAGCATGACCATCCTCCCCAGGGGCGCTTTCTCACTTGCCCGCTCTTTCTCCAGCTCTCTGATGAGCGCATATGCCCTATAGTAAATTTGAATAAATAAAGTTCTGTAGTTTTACTTGTAGATATTATTTATTGCATATAAACTTTTAACATCCAAATATTAAACAACTTTGTGTTGTTTTCTGGTCAAATAAACGGCTGTGCACAGCTGCCTGAGTCAGAAACCTGCCTTTCCACACTCCCTTAGACCACTAAGACAGCAGACCCTGGGACCAGCAGTTGGTGTAGTGGCTATGTCGCTGGGCTCCCATGTAGTCGATCGCGGTTCGAGTTCCAGACCCGGTGACTTAAACTCATGCTGAACATGTGTGCATGCATGCCCAAGATCTCAGGAGGAGAATGGAGGAGAAGGGATTGTGGCATGGCCCTCTTTCCTGGGGGGTGATTTCTTGCTTTCTATCTCTCTGTCTCTCTCGTCTTTCTGGAGAATGCACGGACCCTATAGCAAAAACCTCTCAAAACAAAACAAAACGAAACAAAACAAAAAAACAAAACCCAGCAGACCCTGAGAATTTTACCTCCTCTGCTCCTTGAATTTGGAGAGAGACAACTGACTCACTGGAGAGAGGAAACTAGCTCAGGACCCCACAGAGAGGATACACATGTGAGGTCCACAAACTTGCCCAAAGGAATGCCCGGGAGGCTGAGCACTCAGAGGTCCCCAGAAGATACTGAGACAACAAAAGGAGGTCCCAGGAAGATATTGGACCATCAGTAAAGTCATGGCGTATTTTCTGTCTTTCTATACAAAAATGCATCATGCCTATTCAGATGACCCAACCGCTAATTAGCAAACCTAGAATGCAGTCTAGAGCACGGCATGGGGGCAGGGTAATGGTAGATAGAACTGGCAGTCACGGGTTCGGGCCATTGGGAAGATTGCACGGAGCTCCTGGGGAATGTGGACAGATATTGATGATAAATTCATAGAAAGCAGCAAATGAAAAAGTATACACAAAAATACATAAAGAGTAAATAATTTTCAGCAGAAATGCAATTATATACGCCAGGAAAAAAAAAATAAGGCTGTAAGGGGCACAGTAAAGAAAATAAAAGAAAACATAACTATGGCATAGCATCTGACTTGGCAGTGAGAAATATTTACAGTCACATTAGGTAGTGCTGGTTATTGATTTGACTAAAAGTTGAGACAGAACATCCTTGAGGTGTTGGAACGTTAAGACAGAGGGACCTTGAAAAGGCACTAATATCCTAACGCAGAACAGAGTTGATGGATAATACCTCAAAGTGAAAAATGAAGACAAGGCAGTATGAACACATGGCTTAGATAACACAGCCATTGCTCAATACCAGAAGAAACAGCTAAAAGGGTTGGAAATGATTATCTTTGGGAAGGGAGAGGGGTGGGCCAGGGGACTGCTGCTTCTTCATTATAAGCCCGTTAGAACTGTTTGGTCTTGGGATCAGCATTTGGTGTAATGGCTATGTTGCTGGATTCCCATGTAGTTGACTGCGGTTCGAGTTACAGACCGGACCTGGTGGCGTAAAACTCACGCCGGGCACGTGTGCATGCGTGCCCAAGATCCTGAGAGGAGAATGGAAGAGAAAGGATTGCGGCATGGGCATCCCCCCTGGGGGGTGATTTCTTGCTTTCTGTCTCTCTGTCTCTTGTGGGAGACTGTGCACCAGCGAATATCGCAGGTTTCTCAGAGAGCAAAGAATTACATAATGCCAAAGGCCATGATTGGCTCCCCGTCAAAAACCTCACCTTCAAAACCATACTCTGATTGGCCACTTCCCATAGCAAATTGGTGAGCTTAGAATCCCTCAGATTTGCATATCTGGCATCTCGTGATTGGTCCACAAAAGCAACCAATCATAACCCACGTTTTACAGTCCTTTATTCAACCAATCACTGCCCATCAACATGTATATAACCGCGATCCCTGGCACACAATCTCCAGATGACCCTGAAGACCCTGAAGAGTTGTGACACTGCGTCGTCTCCGTGCTGTCCACAATAAACGGACGACCCTGAAGAGTTGTAACACTGTGTCATCACCGTGCTATAACACTGCGTCGTTCATCCCGTCTCTCACTCCTTCCCTCAGGAAACCTGATCGACTGTGCCCCGGGTCGGGACAGTCTCTCTCTGTCTGGCGAGCACATGCGCCCTATACCAAAAACCTCTCAAAACAAACAAACAAACTGTTTGGTCTTAGGACCAGCTCAGTGGTTAAGGCGCTGGACTCCCACATGGTTGTACACAGTTCGGGTCTCAGACCAGTAAGGCTTGAAACTCACACTAGGCACGTGTGCACGTATGTTCAAAATACTGAGAGGAGAATGGAGGAGAAGGGATTGGAATGTGGCCATACCCCCTGGAGAGAGTGATTGCTCTATTTCTGTCCCTCTGCTTCTCTGGCGAGCACACGTACCCTATAGCAAAAATCTCTCAAAAAGAAGGAAAAGATTTTTTTCATGTAAGTATCAGTTTGGTAAAATAAAAAAAAAAATGTATTTTTTTGGTGCCAGGAGGTGGCATGATGATTAAGGTGCTGGACTCCCACATGGCCAACCACGCTTTGAGTCCTGGACCTGACAGCTTGAAAAATCACACCGAGTTCATGTGTAGGTGTGCCCAAAATCTCAGGAGGAGAATGGATTGTGGATGTGGCCATCTTCCCTGGAGGGTGATTTTTCACTTTCCCTCTCACTGTATCTCTCTGGCAAGCACACACATTGATTCATTTATAAGTGTGAGAGAGAGATGTTTGGCAGGGTCTCACCATGTGAGATTCTCCTGTCCCAGCAGGAGCACCTGGGACTGCGGCACACACTACCACACCAGCCTGCTTAGGTTGAAACGGGAACTGAACCCGGGCCTCCCATGTGGCTTCAGCCTTCCGGGAGCAGCATCTTAGCTTTGTATGCCAACACAGCTAAGTCAAAAATTAGTTTTGGGAACCAGCAGTTAGCGTAATGGCTATGTTGCTGGACTCCTACATAGTCAACTGCGGTTCACATCCTGGACCCAGTGGCTTAAAACTCACGCCGGGCGAGTGCGCATGTGTGCCCAAGACTAGAGGAGAATGGAGGAGAAGAGATTGCGGCGTGGCCATCCCCCCTGGGAGGTGATTTCTTGCTTTCTGTCTCTCTGTCTCTGTCTGTGTGGCGAGCGCATGCGCCCTATAGCGAAAACCTCTCAAAAAAAAAAATTAGTCTTAATAAATTAAAAAGAGTGATGAAAAAAATCTAATTAATGTTTTATAAAATTCTAAAAGGATGCAAAACTTAAAAAAAAAAAAAAAAAAAGAATCCATGTGGGGCCAGCAGGTGGCAGGGTGTTTGAGGTGCTGGACTCCCACATGGCCTACCACGGTTTGAATCCCTGACCTGGTGGCTTGCTTTCTCACTTTCCTTCTCTCTCTCTCCAGTCAAATTAAAAAAAAAAAAAAAAAAACCGCTATCTCCAGTCGAATTGAAAAAAAAAAAAAAAAAAAACATAAAATGTAATAAATAGTTCTTTAAAAAAATAGAACACATGTACCCAGAAAAATGTTTTAGGACATAAAAGGTGACACATAGTTCTGGTTTATGTGATATACAAAGTCTTTTTTCCATTTAAATGCTATTTTTAATTTTTTTTTTTTTCTGACAGGGTCTTGCTAAGTTGTGATCTTCCTGCCGTAGCCTCCCGATAATTTGTGACTCCAGAGCATGCTCTTCAGAGTGGCTGAGGATCGCACCTGGGCCTCGCATGTGGCCTCAGCCTGGGGAGTAGCAGTGTCAGCTAGCACGTGCTACCTCTGCTGGGCCCGAGCTCAGTCTGTGATGAACTAGGAAGTAAGAATAGAAAACCCTTTCTGGTTTTGTAGCCACGGCTGTCTCAAAGGAAAGGATTTTGGCAATTGTTTGAACTGTGAGCTGAATCCGTTACTTTTTTCATTTCTACCTGAAGAGTGATTAACAGATAAACTATGGCTATTCATATTTGGATACTTGACAAACATTTTCTTGAAAATGAATAAAGTAAGCTTGCAGTGATATTAATAAATGTGATTTTTGATATTATATAGGGAAATGTGTTAACAGTTGCAAGATTTGCATATCCTAGTGAATAATATTTTTTAAATACCTAATGGATGATAGTCTAAAATTTGTGTATGGGAAAGGAACTCAATGTGAAGATAAATGAATGATTAATAGACTGTGAAAATTCATTGGTACAATTCCAGATTCACATTACAAAGACACTTTAAGAAACAACCAGTAGGGGCCAGCAGGTGATGGTGGTTAAGAGGCTGGACTCCCAAATGGCTAACTGTGGTTCAAGTCCCAGACCTGGAAGCTTGCTTTCTCACTTTCCGTCTCTCTCTGCCTCTGTCTCTGTCTCTCTTTGATAAGCACAAGAGTCCTATGGCAAATGAAGATAACAATGAATAAAATTAATTAAGTAATTCTTTAAAAAATTATAAATAAAGAAAACTACTTGTTGAGTTTTGATGTTGTATATAAAAAAAATAGCCATAGTTACATAAAAAGCTATTGAACGACTCTTCCTTTTTCATCTACATATCTGAGTGAGCCTTGATTTTCTTCATATACATCAGCCAAAATTATGCAATCTGACAAGATTAAATATAGAAGCAGATATGATTAAGCTAGATATTGAAGACATTTGCAGGGCCAAAACAGAAGCATGGTGCACCGCGGTAATACAGCTGGACCCACATGAACAGGAGGGGGTCCTGGTTCATGTCCTGGAACCTCCCTGAGCATGTCGGGTGGGGAGACTAGTTTATGGTCCAGGCCAGCTGAGACTGGGGCAGATAAGGTCTGGGGTTCTATTGGGAGTGCTTGCCACTTCTCTCTCTCTCAGAAAACAAGCAAAGCTTTACAAAAAAGATGTTTGCAAAAACACAAAGCAATGCTGCTCTCTCTACAAAACGTTTTGTTCAGGAAAGCATAGCAATTTTCATTGTTATTTTTATCCTTGCCAGTGCATGCATACACTCACCAGAGAGACATGAGGAGAAAGCACCTTCCAATGGAGCATGGTCATGCCACAATCCTTTTTACTCCATTTCTCCATCTCTACTAGGACTTGGGACATGATGCACATGTGCCTAGTGCATTTTTTCAAGCCACCAGGGCCAGCATTTGAACCGCGGTCAGCACCATGAGATCCAGTTTGCCGACACACAGCACTTACCCACAGCACTATGGGTCCACCCCTCCTGTTATTTTTAAGTGAATAAATATTTTGACAATTTTTCAGGTTTAATTTTGACCTTATCAAATTTAATCTGGTAAATCTTGATAGATATGACCCAAATATAACAAAATGTCTCGTGGGTCCTTAATAATTTTTATGAGTAGAAAATATTCTTGAGAAGGACCAGCAGATGGTATAATGGTTACGTTGCTGGGCTCCCACATAGTTGACCATGGTTTGAGTCCTGGACCTGGAGGCTTAAAACTCATGCTGGGTGTGTGTGTGTGCATGCCCTAGAGCCTAAGAGGAGAATGGAGAAGAGATCGTGGTGTGGCCAACACCCCTGTGGGGGTAATTTCTTGTTTTCTGTTTCTCTGTCTCTCTGTTGAGTACACCTGCCCCATACCAAAAATTTCTCTTAAAAAAAAAATGTTCTTGGAACCAGCAGTTAGCGTAATGGCTATGTTGCTGGACTCTCATGTAGTTGACTACAGTTCACATCCCGGACCCGGTGGCTTAACACTCACACTGGGCGCATTCTCCCAAGAGGAGAATGGAGGAGAAGGGATTGCGGCGCGGCCATCCCCCCTGAGGGGTGATTTCTCACTTTCTGTCTCTCTGTCTCTCTTTCTGTTGAGCACACGCACCCTATAGCAAAAATCTCTCTAAAGAAAAAAAAATGTTCCTGAGACCAATTAATTTGAGAACTGCTGGTCTAAGATAGGGGGGTTGAAAGTATTCAAACATTTAGGATATGAGGAGTTTAGACAGTCCATAGACCTCTGGTCAGGACACAATTTGAACGTGACTGGAGCCAGGGTTTTGTGTATGAAGCATTGGGCCAAACCTTTAGTCATTATCTTGTTTCCAACAACGCTCTGAAGTTGGTGCTCTTAGACTTGCCCCTTACAAATTATGAAACTGAGACTCAAAACTCAGCTCGCACGGCTATAACTGGAACAGGGACTCAGAGCCAGCCCGCCGACTGCAGAATACGAGCTCTGACTGCAACCTGCGTGGCTCTGGCCTCATGCCCGTTTTCCACATGCACTGAGATGGCTCACGAAGACCCAGTCTCCATAGTTATCACTCTCCAATGCCAAAGATCCTGCTCCTTAGCGCTCACTCAGTTATCCTGTCACGCTGAATGAGGCCAACACAGAGGAAGGCAAAGGCGGCCAGAGAGTGCCAAATTATCCCCAAAGGGGAAATGAAAACAATAACTGCTTAGTGCTTCATTCGTTTCCCCTGATGAATTCATAACTCATCATCTACAACCTACAACAGCTTTCAGTTCTGTTATTGCCACGAGTGAACTAATGGCCCTCCTGCTTCTCTGCAGCAGGCTCTTACCACCGTGTGAATGAAAGGCGTGTTCACAGACATCTGCACTCATAGGCGTGGCCGCTCTCACTGAAAGACTTAGGGATGCTGGAAGCTAATCTCATGTCAGGTGTGTCTGTTCCAGCAATCTAAAGGCTAAAAGTTGTACAGGAGAAGGTAAAAGGTAGGGCCAGCTTTATGCTCCAAACTCCACAAAAAAATTTAATTATTTTTTTTTTTTTGGGGGGGGAGAGGGTTTTGCTATAGGGCGCGTATGCTTGCCAGAAATAGACAGACAAGAGAGACAGAAAGCGAGAAATCCCCCCCATGGGAGGATGGCCATGCCACAATCCCTTCTCCTCCATTCTCCTCTCGGGATCTTGGGCATGCATGCACACGTGCCAGACGTGAGTTCAAGCCACCGGGTTCGGGACTTGAACCGTGGTCGACTACATGGGAGTCCAGCGACATAGCCATTACACCAACTGCTGGTCCCCCAAATTTAATATTTTTAAAAGGTTTTTGCCATAGGGAATGTGTACTCACTGGGCAGAGACAGAAAGAGACAGTGAGAGGAAAATGAGAAATCATTCCCCAGGGGGGTGGCTGCCATGGGATTTTGGGCAGGTATGCGCATGCCTCTGGCATGAGTTCAAGCCACCTCTAGGACTTAGCCACAACAGAGTCCAGTGCCTTAATCACTAACCCATCTGCCGGTGCCCAAAAGCATCTTTTGAAATGCATCTGCCTCTTAGTCAATTTTTCCTTACCACTAAATAGGAAACTGGTTTAACTAGCCCTGATAATCTCCTTTGTTTGAGTCCCAAATCTGGCAGTTTGAAACTCATGCTGGGCACATGTGTGTGTGCGCCCAAAATCCCATAAGGAGAATGGAGGAGTAGGAATTGTGGCCTTGCCATCCCTGGGGGTGGTGGGGTGGGCATGATTTCTCACTTTCTCTCTCTCCATCTCTGTGGCAAGCACACGTGCCTCATAGCAAAAATCTCTCTCAAAAACAAAATAACAAATATTAATCTTTTTAAGAAATAGAAAGCCTCTTGCTTTTTTCCCAATATATGAAAGAAGAGGCAGGGGAGCACACGAAAGAATGGTTCCCTTCTTTGGTGATAGAGAGACACACAGAGAAAAAGAGACAGACAGACACAGGCATCCCCCAGCAGGATCTTCCTGGATGATCCACCCCCAGCCCCAACCAGCCTGGATCACAGGCACATCACAGCTCTCCCAGAGTGTGCAGGGAGACCTTCAGGATAAGAACCTGGAGCCAGGGCCTGCAGGTGGTATGGTGGTTAAAGGCACTGGATCCCCACGTGGCTGACCATGGTTTAAATCCTGGACCTGGTGGCTTATTTTCTCGCTTTCCCTTTCTCTCTCTCTTTCTCTGGTCAAATTAAAAAATAAAATAAAATAAATATTTGGAAAAATAAAAAAAAGAACCCAGAGCCTTCCCACGTGGCATTGGCGCCAGCAAGTGTGTGTTACTGCCTCTGCAGCCACAACCGGCCTCCTAATTCTTGGGCTGGAGTTGTTTTTGTCTTTTATTTCCAACACCTGAATCTGACTTTCTGGGCTTGGGGCCAGGCACTCATATTCTATAGAGGCTCTGGGTACTTCTTATACACAGCCAAGGTCCAGGATAAGCACCTTAGAAAAGACGAAATAAAAGTGACCCAGCAATGGGACTAGCAGTTAGTGTAATGGCTATGTCGCTGGACTCCCATGTAGTCGACTGTGGTTCATGTCCTGGACCCAGAGGCTCTGGACGCGTGTGCGTGCCCAAGATCCCGAGAGGAGAATGGAGGAGGAGGGACTGCGGCGTGGCCACCCCTCTGGGGGGGTGATTTCTCCCTTTCTGTCTCTCTGTCTCTCTCTCTTTCTGGTGAGTGCACGTGCCCTATAGCAAAAACCTCTCCAAAAAAAAAAAAGAAAAATAAGTGACCCAGTAAACAAATTTGTAAATAAGTATCTTTTCTTCCCCTTTTCTTTTAAAGTCTATTTTTACCTTGGGCAGAAGAGGCAAAAATACAGTAACCCCAACACTGTGATCCCACGTGCTCAGAGAACCCTCCCAAATCGCTCAGCCTGAAGAGCCTGAGCTACCACAGCGCCACCGTCTGGCTCACGTGAATATTTATAATATTAGAAACTCTCCAAGTCTTGTTAAAAGAAAATAACCAATAGTAATTCCATTCCTGAATAAAAAAAAGAGTGGAAGGCTAGAAACTAATTTCGGTTTTGGGAACGTGGTATCTGCATTTACAGTATTTTCACCACGAGCCATCATGGACAGTATATTAAAGCTATTTAACATCTAAAACGCACTTAAAACAATAATGCAGATGGCATTTACTGGGACCGTTGGTGCCAAGGCACTGCCAGGCTGATAGCTAAGGGACCCACTCTAGCTCCCAACAGCGCAAACCCGCCCAGGCGCGGGCTCCCTGGAAGCTGAGCTCGGAACCGCTGAGGCCGGCCCGCCCCCGCCCACAGCCCCGCCCACAGCCCCGCCCACAGCCCTGCCTGCCCCGCCCGCAGCCACGCCTACTTCCGCTGCCCCGCCCACCGCACGCCCCCGGATCCTCGCCCTGGCCTCGCTCCAGCAGCCTCGCTCTGGCTCTGCGCTGTCCCTCTCCCAG